GTAATGTGAGTCGTTGGTAATGTGAGTCGTTGTTAATGTGAGTCGTTATTAATGTGAGTCGTTGTTAATGTGAGTTGCTGGTAATGTGAGTCGCTGTTAAGGTGAGTCGTTGGTAATGTGAGTCGTTGGTAATGTGAGTCGCTGTTAAGGTGTCGTTGTTAATGTGAGTCGTTGGTAATGTGAGTCGTTGTGAACTAAGGGATTTTGTTGCCTTAAAAACTTCCTGTGAAGACAGAAGTATATTTTAAAAGTATAAAGTAGAAGTATGCATGTAACGAGCATGTATAGATTTGCTGTTGGTAACTCATGATAGAGGGATACATTGTGCCAATTTTACATTTGTGTTTGTGTACGGTTTTTAAAAAATGGAAATATAATGTGTTAATCAGTGAAATTAGAGTTTTTGGTTGGTGTAATTTAGAACTTTGGACAGAGCCAGGTTAGCCGTTTCTCCTACTTCAACTATTTATGCTAAGCTAGGCTAACCACATCCTGCCAACACTCCATACTTTGCCTCTTTATCTTCTTATCTAACTATTAGAAAGAAAGCAAATAAGTTGTACAAATTGTTTTTATGTATGTCCATAAATACTGATAACACCTGAGACCATACCAATAAGATTCCTACTGATAAATACTGTTCCCCTTAAAAATATTGAAAAAAAGGAAAAATACAGTGACTTGGAAGTTTTGCAGCACATTATATGCAACACAACTCTGTTAAAACACTCACAGCATCCTTACACAGTGTCAAAGAAACGGCAGAGTGGTGAGCATGTATAGTGCACATTGACAATATAATACAGCAAATATTGACATAACAGTGTTTGACTCCTGCAAAGGCTGCAGCAACGTCCTCGTCCCTCACAGACTGCAGCAGCTTAAATAAGGAGAAATGTCTCAGTAACTGAGTTAAGGAAAAACTGCAGACAGATGATAGAAGAGTATTGTCTTCAACTTAAGAATGCTCTATTTCCATGGAACAATAATTAATCTATATACAGATATTAAGCACCTGAAATCACTGCTGCTTCAGAAAATATTGTACAAATTCAAAGATTCCGATTCACCAAAAGGAGACGATGTTTGAATCAACAATGCATTCCTTCTTCAGCTGATGTTTGCAATTGCTGTTTCCCTTTCACAAAAAAGACAAAATGAACTGTGGAAGGAGAGATGGAGTATGAAGACTAGCATTGAGAGGGACCTCTAACAAAATACACCCAGGATCTAAATTATTGTAAAAATCTCACTATAAAACAGACGCCTCCTTTTATGTGTAATTTAATAATCCTACAAGGAGCATGTTGGTGATGAAAGATACACATTGATAGTATTGTGCAATTTATACTCAAATTAAACTCTGTAGTTTGACAGAATTGGTCTCAAATGTTTTCTTCTCCCTGTAAACATGCTTCTTTCCTCTGCCATACAAAGCAGAATCAGCAGTGAAATCGGTGTTGCTTTGCTGAACCATAAATGATGAATTGCTTGCCTTTAGTTTACCGTATGGAGGGTGTCAGAGAGTTCCAGCCTGTGTAATACATTCCTTTACACCCATAGGGTTTGGGCTTTTCTTTAGTGCTCTTGCATAATTTCGGTCCCACGTGAATCAAGCTTGAGATTGTCCTCAAGACTTAAAGTTGCAAGAGGATTTTCAGGGTCAGAGCATCCTTTGACCGCACTGTCCCCAACAGGACAGCCTGAGTAATCAAGAGACTGGCTCTCTCAGCCTCTGGTCTTTAACTGTCCATCTGTCAGACTTCGAGGTCAGTAGTTTTCCCAGGTGGAGGATCAGTCATTGACTTATCTTCCATTGCTTCTTTGTAGGCCAGGAAGGCCATCAGTGTGACACATCAGAGCACGTGTTCTCTCTGCCCTTTACATAGATACATCCACTGGATGTGAGGCAGTAAGGCAGGGCTGCAGGGCTTCAGGACTCAGATCAGCCTCTCCTCCGGAGGCACTTTAAGGACACTGCCCATCTCCAGCCTGGCACCAGCCACCTCCTGTGAGCTGGGGCTGTAGGTGCCCTCTGACTGACGCTTCTTCCGTGCTGTCATGATGAGGCAAAAAACCACCAGTATAGCCAGTAACCCACACAGGGTGATCAGAGGGATGGTCACCACCAGCCAGGGGATTCGCTCCTGATGCTCCTCTTTCTGCAAGAGGACAGGACAGAATGTTATAATATATGACCATTCCGTCTTTGCTAATTCTTCTGATATGGCACTCATAAGTCATCACTAATGGGTTTATCAGTGGTTAATACATAATTAACCACCATAATTAATCTCCTCCATCATGGCAGTTGTCTTATCTGAAGAGAATCTGGACAAAAATCTATTTATTAACTGTTGTTGTTTGTATTAGTTTTCTTTATTGTGTTCTTGGTTTTTGTTAGTATTTGCTGTTATAATAAAACTTATTTTTACGAATCAAAAAGAATATTCTAACTTTTCACCTTTAGTTATACAAAGCTATAACTTTATTTGAGTGATTTTCATCTATCTGATGGAATTTAAAAGTTTGCATGGTTCCCTTTTGTGTTGGAACAATTCTACAACCTTTAGTGTTAATTTAGCAATCCTGAAATGTTACCAATTTGCAGAGGAATGGACTGGACAGTTGATTATGGGATTAACATATAGTAATGCTATTTTGCTGTTACTTATGTTTCAAACCGTACTTTCTGTGTATGTCTGTGTTGTTTCCTGTCATTGCTTCTGTGTCAGCTAAAGGTTCCTTCAATCTTAAACCCATGACTCAGATTCAGGTTCTGATTTAGCACATATGCTGTGAAAGTGAATCAACTCAAATGTAGAGTCAGTGTGAAGATCGGGCCGTCACTTACGTTACTCTCACACAATGTGCCGCTGAAACCCAGCACACACACACACTGGAAGTGGTTGAGTCTGTCCAGACAGGTGGCCCCGTTGAGACAAGGGCTGGACCCACACTCGTCTATTTCTGTCTCACACCTGAAAAACATCAGAAGGGCTTTAACAAAACGCTGACTGACAGAGCAGCAGCTCACACACACACACACACACACTCTCTCCTGACCTTTACACTTGGATGTGGCTCAGACACACTTTTTCCTGAGCAGCAGGTGTGTGTGAGTGGTGAGGAATGTGCAGTGTGCTGCTCTCACCTGGCACCAGTGTATCCCGGCTTGCAGGTGCAGTTACCTCCAGAGTCACCTCCTATACAGACCCCTCCATTAAGACACTCTGTGTTTGAATCGCACGCCGCTGGAGGAAAACGCCATCTATTGGACACACACACATATTCAGTACACTCAAACGTATGATTTGGTAGTTATACATGTAGGTGACCTTTAATTACGACCCAAACGCAGTCGAGGAGAAACTAAGAACTTCACAATTAATCCCACAATCATAAAGGCCTAATTCCACCATTGAGTTTGGTTTGACGTTTTGCATTGATCGTGGCTTGTGCTTCATCAAATCAAGCATTCCCTTTTCAAGGACCAACTACAACAGGGATAACAACAGTAACACTGCTAATAATGGCAACAGTCTGACAGAGCTGACGGAGCGAACAGCGTTTACCTGGGACGGAATGGGAAGGTGGGCGACGAGTTAGCCAGGAAGGGAGGGACTCAAATGCACTAAGATGTACGGGCGGCTGGCCCGACTACCAAAACAAAGAACAGAGAAGCTCTGATGCCAACACACACAGAGGGAGAGCGCCTTCATCCTCTGCTCAGGTAGACATTACTCCTCTATATCTTTACATACACAATAGCGGTTTGCTGCTTTAATAATGCTCTGAATGTCATATATAGAACCTTTGACCATTGTTTGCCTTGGTGAAGGTCTGTTTTGAATCTAATTTACTTATGGTTTAACGTTCAGCAGTAACGCTGATTACTTGAGAATAAATAATGATCTGAAGCTAATGTCATTTATAAGAATGGCATGAACATGAAACCAGTTTTGTGTCGCAAAAAACTATTTAGTTTGTGAAGATAGACACTTTGCACTTCTCATCAATCAACATCATCAATATTTTCAGATTAACAATGTTTCACGTCTCATGACTATGTGTAATAGAGTGCTGCAGGGATGACGTCATTCTTGTAGGCCAACAGGAAGTTAGTATCGACTTGGATCCCTTCTTTTGGATTTTGGATTATAGCATAAAATAAACTTGGCGGTGACGCTGATGATAAATTTAGTTCAGCAAGATAATCTTGGAAAATCAACACCACTTTATGATTTGTGAACGGTGAATATAATCGTCAGAAGTAACAAGTGGAAGTTAGGCAATAAAAGAACTACACCACGGTTGCAGTAAGTGAACACAGCGATGCTGTAAAGGCCTATTGATGGGGTTTAGTAGTCTCATTTAATTATATAATATATTTATCTCATTTAACTATATAATATCACCAACTCTGCAGTTCCCTTTAGCTCATTGTTCTGCTTTTACAGCTCCCAATTTGACAGTTTTGGTTCAGTCACTCAGCTATCAACACTGAGCAGCAGCAGCTGTCTACGGGGAAAAGCTCTGAGGAACCTGCTGTGCACTAGCAGACAGTTTTTGGTTTGTTAGTTCTGTGCTACTGTAGAAACATGGTGGCAGGCTCAGTGAAGAGGACGTTGAGCTCTGTATGTTGATACAAATGGCTTATTTCAAGATAACAAAAACACAACAATTGTGATTATACTAAAGAGAATATAATATGAGATTCCATTTCTGCCAATAGACCTCCCTAAAGGCTACGCAAAGCTTTTGGTTCATTTAGCATCTTCCACGCATCAGACAGGATGTTTACAGACGTGATGTCATTACACAACAGTATGGTAATTCTCATAAATATGAGCAAAAGCTAAAAAGACTCAAATGTGATGTTGAGGAAGTCTTTACTCACTGGCAGCGTTTGCCGACGTATCCAGTAGGACATGAACATGTGTGAACTCCCACCGTGTCCATGCAGATTCCTCCATTCACACAGCTGAACTTGTGACAGTTATCCACCTCGTGCTGACAGTCTTTTCCTGTGTATCCAGGCTCACAGTCACACTGGTAGTCTGCTAGAAGGTCTTTACATGTCCCGTAGACACAGGGACCTGAAGAACACTCATTTACCTCCATCTCACACAGCTCCCCCTCCCATCCTGCGCTGCAACTGCAGTTAAACTCATTAAACTGATCCTGGCATACACCCTGGTTAAGGCAGGGCTGGGAATCGCAAATGGGTGCACCTTGGCATCCTATCATTGGCTCATGCCCACCCAGTTTGGAGAACTGGCTCATCTGAGGGGCTTCTGGTACATTTATGAGAGGCAGGTAGACTCCACCCACTCTCAACTCCCCTAAACATCCAGTGTATTTCTCAGCCAGCCAGATTTTGGTGTCATTGAGGAAGTTAAGGTTGCCTCCAATGCCGAAGCTGCCACCAGCTCTCTGCCCATCAATGGTGAGGCGCCAGCGGGATGCTAACTGCGTGGGATCGACCATGGCCAGCTGGATTTGATGCCATGCTCCGTCTGCGATGGCCCTGTCACTTGTGAAGGCCAGCAGCTCTGTACTCGCCCCGCTGTCCAGTTTGACCAGCAGGGAGGAGTTGAGCAGACCCAGGCAGAAGACCTCTGCTCTGCTGAAGGCCCGCAACAAGATACCGTTCTCGTCCCGCGTCCGAATATCCATGGTGATGTTGGTTACCGGGCTCAGCAGGGAGCTGTTTGCAACATACTGAAGAGCGTTGTCCTGAAAAATGGCTTCAGTTAAACCTGTGTGAAGAGAAGATGATGAGTAGTTTTGTTACTGAAGTTACTGAAACCAAGGACTGTGTATAAGTTACATGTTGATTCAAAACCCCCTACTGATCCCCCAAACCTTGAAGCACTCCTTGAAGTACAGTTCAGATATGTTTTACCATTGTTGCTCATCTTAGTTGCTTTGTACAATTGTTTAGCAGAGCGCTCGTGCTTTCCAGAAGGAGGACAAATATCAAATCTAACTTAATTGGCAATAGACAGGTGTTTTGCTTTTATTTATCATTATGAAATAAATGTTGATTGCACAATGCAATGGCAGTAGGATGATGACACCATCAGTGTTAAGATTGGTTCCATTTAAGCCTCACTTTCGCTTTTCAGTTGTGTCTGCCAGCAGGTACAACCTCACAGGAACATGAAGGCTCCAGAGAGGAACAAGACATTAACTTCACTTAAGTAACTGTAGAAAGTAAAATGTGTGTTGACAACTCTTTTCCAATGAAACCAGCTACCACTAGCTCCACAAGTCACCAGATGAAATCATCCACTGGTTTGTGACGTTACTACACATCATTTGCATAGAGCCAAACTACATTCTCCAGCTGCACCACAATCCTGCTTTCTTAGAAATACTAACATATAATCTCAAATATTATAGGGATTGTATTACATCACTGACAGTTGACATCAACTGTGTATTTATATATAAATAAACTCCCAAAAAGAAGGACATGCAGAAGTTGCATGCAACTGCTGCAACTCTTTAACATGTTGACTTTTGAGTGATTTTATGCCTCTACTGATGTATATGTGCATGCAGCCAATGATGGAAGTCATTTTCATATTTTTAGTTCTTTTTTTCTTCTAATTGTTATCAGCGGTTGGTAGATTTTGAAGACGCTGGTGTGTCACACTGGTGTTTTTTCTGGGTCAGTTTTCTGTACCCGAAACAGATGAGACCTGCAGTGAGGTTACAGCCGTGGGAAGATCTTCTGAGGTGGTGGAAAGTTATTTCGGTATAATCGAGACCTGTAGTGAATTCGTGTCAAACTGGATATTGTTTGGCTTAAATGTCTAGTCTCAAACTACCTGCACTGAAGTTTGTTTTTTGCTTTTTTTAATGTTCAGTCAATCTTCCTGTAGAGCATTTTGTGCTGCATTTCTTGTATGGAAGCTGCTACAAAAATAAAGTGTGTTATTATTATTGATATTATTGTTTCTGCTACTTGTAAAAATGAGTTTGTTGTTTCTGTATGGATAATCCGTCCTCTCAAACACCTCTTGCAGTCAGACTCCTGAGTTCAGGGAGCTTCTTTCCTCCCGTGGACTGGGGAGTTCTCTCTCTGATGTCAGTGAGGGTCTACGGTTGGCAGGTTGTCCCTTCAGATACCTTTTAAGACTGTGAATCTAATTAAGAAATTAAGAGCTGAACAAACAAACTTGACCTGACACTGACTTGATAAAGAGAGCGATAATCACTGTCAAAGGATTACTTACACTCATAACCATCCTGTAGGTCCACACAACGCACTCCGTCAAAGCAAGGGTTGTCGACGCACCACAAACGTGCCTCGCACAGCTGGCCAGAGTATTTCATGGAACAGTCGCACAGGAAGTCATTCCAGGTAACCTGACACTTCCCACCATTGAAACAGGGCTGATCCTGTGCACCGACAGACACAGATGGATGGATTAGATGATCACTTGTCAAGTCTCTCACCTGATGCGACGGCAGTGGTAAAAGCTACAGAGAGGATTGAGCACTAACAACCAGATCAATGTTAATACAGTACAGCCCAGCTATCAGACAGTGCTGCAAGGTGCTAACACCTTAAGCACGGGTCAGTGTTTCACACTCGCTACACACTGGCAACACATTATAGTGTTTACCTGTCTTTTCATCAAAACTGAATATAAACCAGCTTTGTCAATCTCTGTTATGTTAGACGTCATGGACTCTTTTACTTGATTACATAAAGTGTCTCAAGAGTTGGCAATATTGGTTGGTCAGTACATCACTTTGGTCCAAACTGAAATTTCTCAAAAGTATTTTGAATTAAAGCCAGAAAATAAATTTGAATGACTTTGGTGATCTTGACTTTACATTCCCATTAGCCTGAGCTACACTTCTACAGTAATAACATAGCATGTTAACAGTATAATCTGCTACATTCTCATGCTGGCTTTAGTGAGCTATATCAAAGAGCAACTGAGCCAGAGTACAGTTGAGCTTGGAGACATGCAGCACTAACTTTTGACAAATTCTGATGTATTTACATGACCGGTAAGGCCTAACACTACTGTACATAGTTAAAGAATATCAGCAACAAATACTAAAGCTGTCATCAGTTCAGCCTTTTTCTGCATTTCACGTGATCTTGAGGGGAGTGCACATTTCATCTTATTGTTGTCTATTCTGTAGTTGAAGTAATAATCATACAGCAGACAATAAATGCCTCTTTCACCTTGCATGTGTCATCACTATGGCATCCTGGCAGCACGTTCTCCTCTGTGCTTGCCTGGTAAACTTCCACCCCCTCCAGATGATCCTCAATGGTCAGATGCCTGTGGTCCAGCCGAATGTCCTGCAAGCAGCCCTTGACATTTCCACCCCAGGCATTCATACTCTTGCCTGCAGGGAGCCCTCCAACATATGCCACGTCCCCTGCCTCTATACTAACGTTTCCTAATGCGCGATGATTTCCTGCTTTGGGGAAAACCACATGGCCGTACTGCACCTTTAAAGTCACCAAATTATTGTTGCTGTCAGTGACGAACTTGGCCTCCGACAGCAGTGTGGTGTGAGGGCTGTAAATAGCAACAGTGCCCTCCTTCAGATAGATTGTCAGGTAGGGCTTTCCTTCTCGATGGAGCTGCAGAAGCAGACCGTTGTGTTTGAGGGAGCGCATTAAAAAGGAGATAGTGAAGTTGTCTCCATGAGTTTCCGTGATGTTGAAGCCAACGTAGCTGGTGGTGTTCTCATGACCGAAGGTCCAGGATGGATATTCTGAGGTTGGGGTGAGAAGCACAAAGTTATCAGTATCTTACCCAAACACAATGGCACACGCTAAACCTATATCAGCAATCCTTTATTTAGGTATTCTTGAAGGAGTACTCAGTTCCACATGAATTATCAGAGACGTCTCATTATTTTTATTGAGGCTATTTTTAATAAAAGAAACACTTGTGTGTCTCAGCTTGGGCATTAACAGCCACATTTGTCAACATAAAGTTTGGAAGAAGTGCATTTACCAGAAAGGTAAACGATTGAGTTGCATCATGAGAAGTGCATGATCCAGTGCCTTTGGACTTTGAGTCATACTGTAGGGAATACATGGCTTTGGATTGTGGTGCAGTGTTTCGATTTTTATGTACTTTGAATTATAATGCTCTATTTTTCATCCTTTTCTCCAACTTCACGGCAGTGCAATACCAGTTTGCTGGAGTACTTCTTTAACACTTTGGCTTAATCGCAGCCTCAAACAGCAGTAGGAGCTAACTCTATTACAGAGTGGAGGAGATAAAGGAGCTCAGCCTTTGATATTGGCAGCTTTGCCTAGACAAAGTGTTCATTGAATGCTCGTTAGGAGGGAGTTTATATTTCATCCCTACATTTGGATGTGTCATACCCTCACCAAAAATCAGGACCCTTACTTTGAGTGGGATACAAAAGAATCACACCAACAGAAGCATTCCTACAGTTCCTCCTACGCATAGTCCTGGAGATCGCCGCTCTGATTGCTCGCCACAAATTACTCTATCCAGTGGAAAATGTCAATGTTTTTAAGTCAAACTCAGTCCTACTAACCCATTAGGTACACTCTCACCTTTCTCACAGCTTTCTCCATAGTAGGGTCGATGACACTGACAGCTGGGACGAACCCACATGTCCACACACTGCCCACGTTCCATGCATGGGTCATCTTGACACCAATCTTTTTTACTGCATCCTATTTCCAAGCCCTGGTTCTCCTCTCTGATGAGGTCCAGAGGCAGAAGTAGCTTGTGGTCAACTTGAAGGTCTTCCATGCATCCAATGAACCCCCTTCCGCTGGACGTCTGTGCTAAATATTCCTGCGGTGCCCCTCCAACATACAGCTGTTGAAAGGAGCTGGGCTGGAGGAAGATCAGATGGTTATAGTCCTCATTTTTCACAAAGCAGTCATCCTCACAGCCTGGTCCTTTTACAACCAGAACCAGCCTCTCATCCATGGTCACAGTGGCCTGGTACCATTCACCGTCATTGACTAGGCCAGGGTAAATGACCTGCCATACCTTCCCTGACTTCACCCTGGCCCGAAGGGAGCCTCCAACAAGTTCCAGGGAGACGAAGCGCTCCACGGTGCCCCGGTAGTACAGCACCATGTCGTCCAGAGTGCTCTTGAATCGGAGCTGCATGTGGAGCCCATGATTGTCTTGGTCCTTGGTTTCTCGTTTCATCCTGTTTTTGGGAACAGGCAGCTGCATGTGGACGTAGCCCTCGGAGTTGAAGGAAAAGGTGGTGGAGGTATTGCAAAGTTCTCCGGTCCAGCCAGGAGGACACAGGCAGGTGTAGCTATGGTCTCCATCATCATTCAGCACGGGGACGCAACCTGCTTCGTGTTGACAGTGGTGCTGCTGGCAGCCGACCAGACCAACGTCACAGTCTCTCCCGCCCCAAGGCTCCTGGCCAGGCTCTGGCTCAGGGCAGTGACACCTATAGAAGTTGGCAGCATCTTCACACGTGGCGCCATTCTTGCAGGGATTGCTATCACACTCGTTGATGTCCACCTCACAGTGTACGCCTGCATGGAGAGACCCTCACGTTTAGTACTACTACTTACTTTAACAACACTGATGCAGCCAATACACACCCTTCGAATGGATCACAATTGAAGACATATTTACTAATAATTGAACCACATAAATCTGGTTATTCAATCAGGGGGAATGCAAAGGGAGCCTGGAAAGTAAAACACAGTACATTCAATGATATAATTAGACGCATACCGATGAACAGGCAGATACGGTTGAGGCATACATTTTTCCATTAGTGTCATGACTGGAGGAAAAAACATTAATTGCACAATTAGATAATTAGAGAAGACTTAGATTTGCACTGATTTCCCTAAAACAATTAAATCAGTGTCTGCCCTACTTTTTGTTTTAGCTAGACATTGAAATAATGTACTACATGCTTGCCATACACACACACACACACACATACACCTACACACACACACACCCTGAGCCAGAATTACAGTCTACCTGCCTGGTTTCAGTAGTCACAGCCACTTAGCAAACTGCATTCAACATTAAGCCTTGGCAGCAGCAGTCAACTCGCATTAACATAGTCCTTTAAAATACTCTACACTTAAGGAACCCTTAAGCTGTTTGTCCTCTCTGTGCCAGGACTCCACCCTCATACATAAGCACGCAACTTTTTTGTTAATGTAGCCTTAAAGTGCTGTACCGTACCTTACCTGTCAGCCCCCAGAGCCCACAGCAGCAGCAGCAGCACAGCAGCAGCAGCATCAACCTGCTTCCCCCCATGATCCACTGAGTGAACCACCAACACACTCCTCACACTGCTGGCTGACAGAAGTGACACAACCAGCCTCCCTCTCTCTCTCTTTCTCTCTCTCTCTCTCTCTCGCTTACGAAGCAGACGTGCGTCCACTCTGTACAAGGCAGACAGGCAGAAGTGATTACAAGGCAGCCCCGCCCAACTTTTCTTTACCTCCCTCTCTTTCTCCTTCCTCCATTCCTCCCTGAATCCCTCCCTCACACCCCCTGCTCCTCTCTTGTCTGCAGCCCAGCCCGAGCAGAGCGCTAAGCCTCCTCCAGCTGGCTCCTCTCGGTGTTTGACAAGAGGAATGCAGTGCTGCATCCCCTCCCTGCTCCATGTGCCGGCCTGTGGATGCCCACGAGTGGCAGGAAATGCTAGAATGAACCTGCAGGAGGTGCTGCAGGTTCAAGGTTTCAGACCTGACCATGTATGGACCGATACATGGAGCCCATATTGATTTTTTATTAACGTTTGCATAGCAGCTAGTCAGTCTCATCCACCATTGTGTCTGATCTTATCACATTAGATGTATTGCCAATGGGCTGGTATTAGTGACTAATAAAGGGGATTATTTCCAATGGAAATAAATAAAACACTTTGAAATATGGTGGTGGGGGGGCTGACTCCAACCTTGGTTGATATTGGTCAACAAAGTCAAGGTTCTAATGTTTGAAGTTAATTGTGAATTGTTAATCAATTATTAGATGACAGTTGGAAAGTCTCAGATTTAAGTTTTAGTTAAATGTTATGTTTGAATTGTATGTTCACTTTCAGAAAAAAAAGATTGCATCAGGGTTGATAGTTTGACAATAAAAGAGCTAAGAGCTGGAAATCTGGAGATTCAGATATGAATAATGCAGTTTTTTTGTTCACATGATCTGTAATTGACTAAATCAAGCTTAAAGCACACACCTGTAGCCAACCTGAGGAAGCCACACAGTGAAACTCGTTACTCATAATACATGACAAAACTAATACCAAACTCAGACATTTTAATCCAAATGTCCAAAGGCCTTCTAAAACTATAAGCATGGCGCAGGTACAGTAAGGAGAGTCCATCTCTACTAGTTAGCAGTGCGTTACAGTGACGACCTCATGCACAGGGACAGTCAACCTCTTGCACATGTGCCACACAAAGTCAATAGGAGGTTTATGAGCCACATGGAGTTTTCCTCTTTGCTTGCTGTTGCACAAGAGTGATGTTTACAGAGAGCATTCCAGAAATGCAGATCATTAGGAAAAAGGCCGTTGTTTTGCTCACAAGTTTTTCATTGTCTTTTTTTTTTTCCATCAGGCTTTAATTAGGCTCCTAAGCAGCTTTTCTGTAATCTCCCCTCCCCCTGACAAATATCATAGGAGACCCCCGTCTAATACCCAGGGTGGACGCCTGACATATGGCACCTTATATTGGCTTTGTTGTTTTCTGCTCCTCCATACCATATGGCCTTTCTATCCTCTGCTCCACATCGCACGATACCATTAGCAGATTCAATTTGCCTCTCAGTGTGTTGATGAGAGCGTCTGGCTGAATTCCTCACTTCTAAATCCAGATTGTGCATTTCAAGGTCAGTTTTTGGGACTGTTCTTCCTGTTTTTGAGTGACAAATCTCCTCTAATGACGAATTAATACCTTGGCTGGCTCTGAGGAATGATCAGCAGGAGGAATATTAACCCTTTTACTGAGACTTGTCGGCTGACACTGTCTACTGAGGACATTCAGTCCTGTTTACACAAAAACACTGATTACTATCAATTTATCACTCGTTATTACTGTAAAAGAGAGTTGTCTTGTGACAGGATTCCCCAGTGTTTAATCTAATCTACTCTGATAACACACAACAATACGATGTGCAATGAACAGAACCTAAGTAAACTAAGATGTCTGTGTGAGGAAGGAACAGCACTGGTATTTGCATGTAGCATGTTTATTTTCATTATTGATCGATCTGATTCACTAATACTATAATCTATAAATATTTTGCAAGAAATAATAGTTCAAGAGTTTGTTGTTGATGAAACTTCTGTTGATTGACTAATCGCTTCAGCTCTAATGATCTAATAACAAACACCTTTAGAAATATTTCAGTAACCTTTTACTGGAGATAAGTGTTTCTTAAAAAGTCAAAGGCTCGACAAAAGCGTGGGCTGCTGCTCACCACTGACTTCACCAGCCAGCTTCACCTTTCTTTTTTAATGTCAGAGATCTGTGTCTACCCACCATCTGCAAATCTATTTAATGTCCCTGCTATGAGAGGCTCCTTCACTTCCTTTGTGCATGACATTAGGAGAGAAGAGTACATCCACAGCACATGCAAAAATAATCTGTTTTTAGTATTCGTACTGACCATTTTCAGTATGCTTTATTTGATGTATTTAAAGGGAGATGCTAACTTGCTGTTGATTTACAGAAATCCCTGCAGCACTCTAGTTGTTTGTGTTTTGACGCCGCTCGATTCACAAATGCATTTTTTTCAGCAGGGATGTAGCCAATTAGCTTTTCTTTGACATGAGTGCGCCCCAACAAAACTATGATTTCATATTTATAATTCTTGAAATACATTTGTGAATCCTTCTGTGTGCATTCAGTCATTATGATACTAATCTGAACCCGTGGTTCATTTTAATAACCACCTGGTAAAGTGAGTAAAGTCTGAACAGTATCACAGCTGAACATGCTCACAGTGAGGCAGTGAGGAGGGACAGGGACAGGGACAGGACACTACTCCGTGGGGAGTTCTCTGGAGGAAGATGAGAGTAGACGAGCAGATAAGAGGTTTCTCCTACCTGTGAAGCCATCTGGACACATGCATTGATAAGAGCTGACCAGATCCTGACAGGTTCCTCCATGCTGACACGGAGCAGACTCACACTCGTCCACATTGACTGAGCAGCTGTCTCCTGCCAACGGAACACATTACTGAGATTCATATGTCCTAATCACTTCATTGAGTTATTAATAAGGCAGAATATACATGGGAAACAACAGGGTTTATAACTAGCTTACCAGTGAATCCTGGCAGACAGCGGCAGATGAACCCGGCGGCCTCTTCATAGCTGAAATTGGCTTTGCTGAATTCAGGCAGCGTTCTGTAGTTCAGGATATCTGAGCGCTGGAAACACTCGCCACCATTCTCACAGGGTTGCTGCCCACACTCATCCATATCCAGCTGGCAGTTCTCTCCCTCGTAACCTAGATGCACGTGAACAAAAATGTTTAAAGGATGAGTCAATACAATGTTTTTAGTAATGACATGTTGTTTAAACAGGCTATGAATGATATATGACAAACCCCTCAGAATACAGAGAGGAATGGAAGTGGGAGTTTTGGTGCATGTAAGAGCTACTGAAGTAGAGATCTCTGGCTCAGAGTCTGAGAAAAACTCATTTAGAGCAAACGGCTTTTAAATATATGTTTTGTAAAATTCCATACATTTCGAGGACACTGCAGGTAAATAGGGTAAAAAAAACTAATATTAAAATATTCAAATGAGGCATTATCTGATGTTAACGTTTGGTGAATTTAGGAGAAGTCTGCAGAAACAAATAGACAAAGTAGTCAAATAAACACCAAAATGTGTATTTTGGATGTTTTCTTGTTCTGAAAGAAAACATGAAGCAAAATAGAAACAAATATCATAATTGATCAGTGCATGGACAAACATGTATCCTGCCTGGTTGTCTCCCCTTAAAAGAGTTCATGGTAACTGTAATTATTAATTTTATCCGTACAGGCCATGAAGTGATTCCATCCTAACTTACACACCAACATCGTCCACACATTGTTAGCTAGCTAGAGCTGATGTCTGTACTGTTCGCTGGCCATTTGAGTCGCATAAACACGGGCTGCATAAAGACTTCAGCTGTCAGATTTGTCTGAATAAAGCGAGCTGAAAACGTACGTTTCTTTCTGAACGAGTGGGTTTTGTTAAAGGACCAGTGTGTAGGATTTGGCGGCTTCTAGCGGTGAGGCTGCAGGTGTTAAGTAGGTGAGCGATGGTGGCTGTCATGAAAACATTACTATTCTGCTCTGGGCTACAGTAGAAACATGGTAACGGGCTCCATGTAGATATAAACAGCTCACTCGATGCTAATGAAAATACAATCATTCTGATTTTCAGGTGATTATACACAAAAGAAAAAGTACTTATTGATATTACACTCAATTTCTGCCAATAGAGCTCTGTAAATGACATACACTATTTCTTTACCAAACTTGCATGTCAATACCAGGATGTATCCCTCCCTCTGCAGATAGAAACACAAAGTCATGTTTTAACTGTAACATGGGGGGTTGCCCACTTTATTTGACTAACTCAGAGTGCGGATGCCTTATACAAGCTTCAGTTGAACTTTGGAATGCATTTTTTGTTTCTCTCTATATTTGGTTATTTTTATGTTTTTTCAAAAATAGACTTATTTTTTCCACAAAATATGCTTTACAAGAACCAGTTCATGCCAGTGTCCACAGTCGATCTATACAACAGCCTTCATGAAAGTATTTAAGACTTATAGATTGAAACACATGAAATGAAATAATATCAGCTTTAAAAATAAGAGCTGATGTTAAAACTGCTTAGGGTCAGTTAAGGTTGTGATGTCACTTGTGAAGTTGACTTTTCGAGCATATCTTCCAATAGTTGGCAACACTAACAAGGATTGTGGATTTTGTAGGTTGCACAAGAGCTCAACCAAACTGCTTATAGCCTGTATAGACAGTTTAGTTTCCCCAATCCATTACAGGTCAGGAGTCAATATATCCAAGTCAGTATTCCCAACTTCCAATCAAAATGTGTCCCAGTGCATCTGCTCTGGAAGAGACAAAGTGTATAATGTAACCTTTAAATGAGCAGCTAGAGAACTCGAGAAAATAGAGGGACAGGAAATATTTTTGCTACTCTTATTTAAGACACTTCAGGGATCCTCAGGGACCCAGTTAGAAGAGACGGGAGGAGCAGACTCATACCGCATGCTGGCAAACACGCACAAATCTACTGAATGGAAATGTTAGAGCACAATTCACAAGACAAATGGTAAACGCACTTGCATTTGTGTAGCGCCTCTCTAGTCTTCAGACCACTGAAAACGCATTACACTACATGTTATTCATTCACACATTCATACACTGATCTTCCGATTGGAAGACAACCCGCTTTACCTCTCAACCACAGCCGCCTCATAACCGCGGGTAGATTATCCAGCCCGAGTCCATGTCTTGGAATTTTGACCTGACTGACAGTTCCTTTGCACTTTTTTATCAGCACATTGTTCACACTGTGATGATGTTTTGTTGCTATATAACAGTATGATAGCGTATACTGAGCAGTGGGTTATAGCAGGTGTAGAGGTGGTGCACAGAGTGATGTGTACCTGGCCAGCAGAGGCACTTGTACTGGTTGATCTCCTCCAAACAAGTAGCTCCATGCTGGCAGGGGTCGGAAGCACATTCAGGAATATCTTCTTCACAGTGGTCGCCCACAAAGCCGGTGCCCTCACAGTCACACTCATATCTGGAGGAAGGACGAATAAAGGCAAAATGGATATATAGAGTGAATAAAAATGGATTGCAAGGCTATTTCATTATTTTCTGAACAGTAGCCGTATTAGTCACTTGTGGCCACAAGTGACTAATACAGGACTAAGTAGTAACAAACCCCCTGAGTGTGTTGAAATGAGCAAGGGTGTGTTATTTCTTATGAATTCTTCCTTTTCTGTATCACAGCAAGAATGTGCAAGTTATTCTGTCAAAAGTTACAGTCTCTCTTTGAATATTCAAAGATAATAGAATCTTTGGACACCAACTTATTGAAAGAGATTTTTTACGTTTTAAATGTTGCGGCACTCATTAAAAGAAATCTGAAAAGTTCCACAGAAATTGTGTGCTGATGATCAGCTGTGTGGCGTCTGACCACTTCATTCTTCTGTCCAAACCTGCACTAAGATCTTCTGTTTTATGTTTATCAGTTCTCTTGTTCCTAAGTGTAACATATAGCATCTTCTATCCGTCCTCGTCTACTCAGTGTTACTACCAGGTATTCTCACCACCTCTATCCGTCTAATGACTCATCACAATGGCTGGCAGTAAGTGGATTAATTATTATCCCTGGTCAACTTTAATGTCTGCCATGCAGCCTCAGGCTGTCACAACACACTGCTGGCCGAGTGTAGTCATATAGAAATCAGCACTAATATAAACCAACATGGATCAGACAATAATATACAGTCCCTCCAGTATCACTTAATGTACGATTTTAACCTTGATATAATTCATTATTTGATCAGATTCCACCAAAGTCTCATCAAATACATCATTCATGCATGTCAGCAAAAACAAATACTCAAACACAAACATAAAGATTAATGGAAGCTTCATTCTGGAAACATACAAAGAGGGCCTTGACTTTGAACTAAACATCATTGGAAACACTGTGACAAGCTGCATCTGCTATTTGATTCATGTTTAGTTTCTGCGTATGATCATGTTTCTGTGCTGTTGTAGAGTGACATGATTTACCAGACAAGTTGTTAACCACGTTTGCATTGTGAGCTCAGGTGAGAACTTTATTAATCCACAGCAGACAATATATGAAAGACATGTTGCCATACTAACTTGTACTCACACCAGTACTAACACCAGTACTAACACCAGTACCGACACCAGTACCGACACCGGTACGAACACTGGTACTAACACCAGTACCAACACCAGTACCAACACCAGTAACAAAACCAGTACCAAAGCCAGTACTAACACCAGTACCAACAACAGTACCAACACCAGTACCAACACCAGTACTAACACCAGTACCAACCAACACCAGTACCAACACCAGTACCAACACCGGTACCGACACCGGTACTGACACTGGTACGAACACTGGTACTAACACTGGTACTAACACCAGTACCAACCCCCCCCCCCCCCCCCGCCCTGCCACCTTCGATCGCAAGAGCGTCGTGTAGCATACCA